GAAGATCGTATGGCAAAGGATGGTAATGGCATGATTACATTGGATCGTGAATTCTGCAATGTTGTGCATAATCCAGATGATCTAAATAACTTCGTCTATAGCGAACTGCTAACTAATATGAGGAATAGAGACTGGTTATGTGAAAGAGCAATTTTAGCGCCGACGAATGAAATGGTGGGACAGATAAACGAGCAAATTATGTCACGCGTGGAAGGTGATATTGTTGAGTTTCTCTCTGTAGACACTGTAATGGATACTGAACAAGTAACATCATACCCTGTAGAATTTCTTAATTCTTTAGAACTGTCGGGAGTACCTTCACACAAACTGAGGCTGAAAGTAGGCGTTCCTGTCCTTTTAATGCGGAGTTTAGATGCACCAAGACTGTGTAATGGCACACGGTTGCAAGTGACACACCTCGGTCGCAATATTGTAAAAGCAATCATTATGACTGGAATGGCAAAAGGAGAGAACGTTTTAATCCCCCGTATACCCATAATTCCGACAGATTTGCCATTCCAGTTTAAGAGATTACAGTTTCCGCTGAAAATCGCATTCGCTATGACGATAAATAAAGCTCAGGGGCAAACATTAAAAGTAGCCGGCATTAATTTAGAAAAGAGTTGTTTTTCTCACGGACAATTATACGTGGCTTGCTCACGTGTTTCAAGTCCACAGAATCTCCATGTGTTGGCCAGAGAGGGAAAAACAAAGAACATAGTTTACAAAAATGTACTACAGTAATAAGGCCTCTTATTGTTAGCTTCCTACATTATTATACTACTTACATTAAGTTAGTACTTCCTACGCAGACGATGTTACGGATGTCACACTGTCTAACATCGGGGGTTGGCAGGTAGGTAGTTAGTAGTATTTTAAACCGATTTACATTATTTACTTTTTATATTTACTAAGGAAACATTCGGAGCTATCCATTATGTAGCTTAGGTTGCTTTTGAACAAATTTTGATGTGAAGTTGAGGACTGGAACACGATAGTGGGACATTGTTGCAGGGGGACTTATAGCCGGGAGAAAACAAAAAAACTTATGCGGACGAAGTCGCGGGTAAAAGCTAGTAATAAATAAAATAAAATGCTGTATACAACATCGTATCAGGTGACGAATCCTGGATATTCGCATACGAACCCGAAACAAAAAACCAGTCACGAGTTTGGGTGTTCGAAAATAGGTTAAAGCCAACAAAAATTGTTCGTTCACGGAGTGTTGCAAAAAAAATGGTGGCCACGTTTGTCTCTAAAACCGGCCATGTTACAACTATTCCTCTTAAGGGACAAAAAAAGGTTAATGCCGAATGGTATGCTAGCATTTGTTTGCCACAGGTAGTTTCTGAACTCCGTAAAGAGAACTGCAACCGCCGCATCATCCTCCATTACGACAATGCGAGTTCTCACACCGCACACAGAACAAAAGAGTTTTTAGAGCAAGACAACATAGAATTATTAGACCATCCGCCGTGCAGCCACGACCAAAACCCTAATGATTTCTATACTTTCCCTAAAATAAAGAATAAATTGCGTGGACAGAGATTTTCATCACCTGAAGAAGCTGTGGACGCCTACAAAACGGCCATTTTGGAGACCCCAACATCCGAGTGGAATTGTTGCTTCAATGATTGGTTCCATCGTATGGAAAAATGTGTCAGATTTTGCGGAGAATACTTCGAAAAGCAATAAATACATTTTTAAATGGTAATGTTGTGTCACTTCCTCGATTCCAGAAATTTTCAGTGCCGCCCTCGTATACACGAGAATCCTACGGGTCTAATACACAAATAAAAGTCCTGCAAATCCAATATAATAATATATTCAGGACGCTGTTGGGACTGCCTCGTTGTTGTAGTACATCGGGGATGTTTGCGGCATACCAAACAGATGGACTTAATGCCATTATACGCAAAAAATCCCTTATTAGCAGGGTACGAGCCAGCCACAACAGCATTCCGAGGACCGTAGCAGACAGGTATACATCGCCGCTGTGGAAATGTCTTGTGCAGAGACTGATCACTGGGCCCTATCCACCCCATTGATGGTCTGTCTCGGCACAGGTTATTACTTTTTACATGATTTAATAACCATTGTTATTATTGTTATTATTATCAATATAGTTTTCTCATTGGTTGGGTTCTATAAATATATAATTATAAATGGAAATGAAAAGATAAATATACATAAATACAATAACACAAAATAAATATAAAAATACATAAATAAATAAAAGCCCAAACAGATGTAGGCCCTCGGCAGGAGACCAAACGGCCGTGGGTTAGGGGGAAAGGGAAAGAAATTAACGGACGATGCGGGCGGTATCCAGAAGCACCGCCTTCTGCATTTGAGCCTGGAGCGGTCCGCCACGTAGTCCCAGCCGCCTCAGATGACCCGAGAGGCTGACTTGGATTAGCCGGTTCGCAGAGACGACTACAGGAATAATTTCAGTCGGCAGACTACCCCACATGTCGGTTACCTCGTGAGCCAGGTCCAGATATTTTGTTTGCTTATCTGTTTCGGCTTTCACGAGGTTTTCGTCATACGGAATGGTAATGTCGACCAAAAATATCCTTGACTGTGCCCGGTCCATCAGCACAATATCAGGCATATTCGCCAGAATAGTACTGTCTGTGATGATGGCCCGGTCCCAATAGAGCCTGGCGCAATCACTTTCGAGCACGGATTCCGGCAAGTACTTGTAATACGGCAATTTCCGATCCACGAGACCGTATTTCAGAGCGAGCTCATGGTGAAGAATTCCGGCTACTAGGTTGTGCCTGTGCAAGTACTCAGAGTTAGAAAGCGCCGAACAACCGGAGATGATATGCCTAAGTGACTCACCGGGATGGCTACAAGCTCGACAGATGTCGACGGTTCCATCCTTTAGGATGTATCTCCGATAGTTGTTGGTCTTAATAACCTGACCCTGTATTGCACAGACAAAACCCTCGGTTTCCCCGAAGAGATCATCAAAGCATAGCCAGTAGAGGGAGGCTACTGTGTCCACGAAAAGCTCATGTAGAGCCTTGTAGAACCACCCGTGGAGCTCCTTCTCCTTCCATACGGTCTCCCGGTCGGAAATGCTCTGCACTGCCGAGTCTTGCCATTGCTCGTTGGCTGAGGATAGAGGGGTTAGTCCTTTATTACAAGAAATGACGTCCTTATAGAATGGATCATCCGATCTCGCCAGGAAGTAATTACGGAGGCTGCACACTTCGCGATTATACATGGTGAGCGCGCTCAAGAAGCTGCGCCCACCATACTTTCGCGGCAAGTACAGCCTCATTACCGACGATCTCGGATGATGCATCTTATGGAACGTCATGTTAGTGCGGACTTTTCTATCCAGGGCGTTAAGTTCAGTCTGAGTCCACCTGAGTATGCCAAAGAATGAAATGAAAAATACATGATGACAGGCATGACCCAACCGTTATATGTGTTTGTCTTATTCACACCGGACAAAAGGCTGTTAAGCACTTTAGTCAAGCGTATAAAAAACACGTCGCAAACTGACTGTTTCATACCAGCCTCATCGATACCGATGTTCTGTGACATACCCAGGTATCGGTACGTTTCAGCCTCGGAAAGGGTCCTTAAGTTGACAGGCATAGATATCTCGTCTATGTCCTCCGAGTTAGCAACCCTTCCCCTTTCAACATAGAGGACCGCACACTTATCCGTTCCCAGCTCCATTCCAATAGAATTGCTAAATTCACAAGTGATGTTTAGCAATTCCATAAGATGGGAGCGTCTGGAGGCGAATAACTTGAGGTCATTCGTATAGAAAATGTGGGTCACTTTTTTCTCTCCCTTCCGTAGCTGAAATCTCCTCCTGGAGCCCTCCAGTAAGGTACTGAGAGGGTTTAGAGAGAGGCAAAACCAGATTGGACTCAGACAATCGCCCTGGAAGATACCCCTTCTTATCCTTATGTGGTTCTCCGCAGCCATCATCCGTTCACCCAGATAACAAAGGATCGTACTCCACTGCCCCATACACTGCCCGAGGAAGTCTCTTACTGTACAGTCAATCTTGTGCAACTCGAGGACCCCCTTTAGCCATGTATAGGGAAACGAGTCGAACGTCTTTCTGTAATCTATCCAGGCGGCGGGGAGGCTCCGACGGTAGCGTTTCACCACTTTGCCAATGACCGCGTCAATGAGGAGTGGTTCCTTGGTTCCACGACCACCGCCCCGACATCCATTTTGAGCGCGTGACATCACCTGATTTAGCTCCAGGTGACGAGTGATTCTTGAGCTCAAAATGGATGTCAGTGTCTTATATATGGTGGATAGATACGTGATGGGGAGGTATTTGCTCAGATCTGTGGTATCCTGATCTTTGGGAACCAAATGAGTGATCCTAGTAGTGAAGAGACTCGGGAGCGACTTCTGATCAAGAGCCTCTTGAAACTGTCAGGTGAGCACAGCGTTACACACCCCGAACCTCTTCACTCAGTAATGATAAGGCCCGCCGAGCCCCGGACTTTTCCAGTTCGCAGCCCTACGGACCGCCCCAGCCACGTCTTCCGGCGTTATAGTGACGGGGTCCATAGGCGTAACACTCGCACTCTGGCTCGCCACAACTTCCATCCAAGGGCCCTCGCTGTGGTTTACGGGCTCTGACCACAGGCCACGCCAAAATACGACAATGTCGGCCCGATCCGGTCCTGGGCCCGCTCCACATACCTTCGGTCGCTCCAATGATTTATAGAGCCTCTTCTGATCACTCTGAAAGAGACGATTCTGGTTGAAACGCCTTGACCTCTCGCTAAATCGTCAAATACGCTTCCCCCAAGCAGCGATTTTTTGCTTCAGGTCATCTATACGCTCCGTTAGTTTCTGCGTGATATCCGGCTGGGACAAACTAATATTTGTCCCAGCAAACGCCATTCTTACGGTGCGCACAACTCTCGTTCTATTATTACCCGACCTGAAGCTCGTCAGTCTGCCGATAAGGGCCCTTGCCTTTGTGATATGGTCCTCGATTCTTTTTCTCAAGGCTGGGATGGCGCTACTTTGTCGACTAGCACGTCCAGCCATGGGAAGTTGGCACCAATAATACGGCATACTGCCAGTGCGGCGCCAAAAAAAATTGAGTCCGTCTCGCAAAGGTCCCAGCTGGCTTCCAAATAGGTCACCAGCATTGGGTTAAGAACGGGAATGCGGGGAAGTCGCGGTCGATTTTCGGGGGGCATGCTGCGCGTTTCCAGCATCGACTCTTCCAATATGCTCCTCATTTTCTCTAGTTCAAATTTTCCATCATCGTCTGAATCAACCAAATGGAATATTGAGGGCAGCATCCACATATGCAGTTTGCTGCGTAACTAGTGGCGCCGCATTCCCAGCCGTAGCGTTTCCATTCGATGAGGGAACAGCCTCACGTCGTAGTCGTTCGAGTTCGGCGTCACCAAATATGTTGGAGTGCAGGATGTACCGAACTCGGTCTGCCAGGTTTTGCTCAGTGACGGATAGAGATGGCTCCAGCTCTGTAAAAAAGCGATGCATCCAAGCCCGATACGCCAAATATCAAGTTTCTTCCCCTTTCGCCCTAAAGTACGCCCGCAGTGGGTTTGCGTTCATTATTTGTGACCAACGCATGCGACGTGCTCCACCAGCGGCGGGTGCCGATTTTTGAGTCCGAGAAGACCCAGCCGACACCAAGCCTTCTGGTGGGGATGATGGATGCGGGGGGCTGCTAGGTGGTCTTGCAGCACCCCGCGCTCGGCTGGCGGCAACATTTTTACAACTAATTGTTCATGCAAGATTATTTGTATTTGACTCATGCAAATGTCTAAAGTTGCCTGAATTTCGCGGTATGTGACGTGTCGATCTTCCTCAATCAGCTTACGCACAGCATCAACGTTTTCTTGGGTGACTGCAGTTTTTGGATGACCTTGACGGGGATCATCACTGAGCTTGACACGTCCACGTTGAAATTCAGCAAATCAGCGATAAATTGTGGTTTTAGATGGGGCTTCATCACCAAATGCAGAAATTATCCGGTCAACACACTGTTTTTATGTTAAACCACTTCAAAAGTCATTTTCTCGAGTCAATTCCATTTAAGCAACGACTAAACAAGTTTGACAAAACCTTGTGACAAGACCGAGAATCTTTTTTTAAATAAGTAAATGGTATTCGATTTTTAAAACCAAGGAGTTTTCAATTAAAAAGATTTTAATATGACAGGAACAGTGGAAATATTCCATTCCCGATACTTTTAGTGCAGCCAAGGTTCACGCTTTTTAAAGCACTGCCAGAGCATGATTTTAGCACGCTTTTAAAGCAGTATGGTTTAAAAAAGCGTGAAATCTTAACTTGTTTTATACAACGGGAAATATTGCGAGGCAACATATTGCCTCTAACCGCTAGAGCCCTGTACTTCCTTTCAATGTCCGCATCATCTTTGAGGTCACCAGTAATAATATGTCCCAGATATTTAAATTTAGTGACACGTTTTACATTCATGCCATTAAGGGTAACATTATCTGCAATATTGTGCATTTACCAGCGGCCTCAAAGACCATGTACTCTGTCTTTTTGACGTTGTATGTGAACCCATGCTCAGTAGAATACATCTCACTTACCTTTAACATTTCTCTTGGGCCTCACACCGTTAGGCTGAGCAGCACCATATCGTCAGCGTAACGTATATTATTAATTATAACGCCATCTATGTGACACCCGATGCGCATGCTGCACAACTCCACGATAAGGTCATTTACATACATGTTGAGGAGACTTCCGACAGAGAATCAGCCCACTTTACAAAGTTGGTTTAGTTGGAATACCAAAACCTAAACATTTCCAGCAGCTCAGCCGACACACCTCTTCCCGTCAACTTTCTCCATAGTACCTCATAAGACACAAAGTCAAAGGCCTTCGAGAGATCAGAGGTCAAGGAAACAGCCGTATGCCGGCGTCTTGTGATCTGTGTATTAAAGACAGTGTGTTTTAGGCTCAGGATTGCGCTTTCAGTAGAAAGTCCAGGTGTCCACCTGAACTTAGCGTCATGAATGTTTGCATATTTGACACTTTTAAAAAATACTTGTGTATACCTTAATATTTAAAGATTAATCGTTAATTCATTTATTTATTGATTAATTCTTTACAGTCCTTCACAAATCAAATAGGCATAAGTGTACCTGCATCCATCGACATCTCGCATCTCTTATCAGGTAGTCTCACAATCTAGTGCAAGGGCTACTAACACTTCTCTTACATATATAACCTATGAAAACCAAAAACACTTTTTACTGGTGAGAGGACGAAGTATCACATCTGAGTCCTCGTTAACGAGAGAAAAATAAAAGCTCTTTGCATAACTTAATTTTGTGCATTTGGATAGGGGTTCATCAATTTATTCCAGCCTGTAAAATTCCACTACTGAACATAGGCCTCCCCTACCCCCAGCGGACGGGTTCCCGCTTTGTAGCGAAGGAAGCTTAGCAGCCGGGCTTGGTGAACTAAGAGGAGCCCACATGGATGGCTCGAGGTGAAGAACCGGCCAGAGGTGACCACTCCACATGGGCTCGGCGAGCTCAATTTGGATGTGTGTTTTGGTGGTATGTAGCGAAAGGAGTCACCTCGTACCCTACCATAGGAGTCAGGGTGGAATCGCGGGAGAAGAGGAGTGTTGGAATAACGACGTGCCACTCGGCTTATCCTCCGCGACTATTACGGAGCCACACGTGATGGGGCCGTGGAATGTGAGGAGTGACGGTATTGCAAGGCGCCGCTCTTCCTACATTCCGCAGCTGAAACATGGTCGGTGGTGAAGCCATAGACCAAATCCGTCGCTGGGGTCATGAAAGCTGGTGCTCCAAGTGCTTGCTCACCGGCATGAAACTGCTAACGCGCACACGCGCTAGCACGCCTGCACGCAAACACACAAACACACACACACACACACACACACACACACACACACACACACACACACACACACACACACACAACCGCCCTAACACACATAAATCGTCTGTCTGTAATGTCGAAATAATTAAGTTAAGAGGTTATTTTCTTGACATTTAGCCATGAATAATCAATATTAAAATGTTTGTCTGTCTGATTGTTCGTGCATATCTTCGAAGTGGCTGAGCCGGTTGTAATAAGACTTCGAGAACAGATAGAGAGCAATACCAGAAGTGATCTACGCTATATTTTTTCTGACAACATGATATTTTTTAAGAATTAATGAAATAAATGTTCCTTGATGATTAACCTAAATCTAAATAGCGTAACATTGATAGACCGTGACGAGTAGTAGTAGTAATTAGTAAATAACAACTGTTATGCAATAAATTTGTTGAGTGGAAAGAAAGAAATATTCTATTTATTGACTAAGATATGTGTACATATTCTGGTCGTGTTTTGGTGGTATAAGAGACTAGAAGAGGCGTTATAAAAAGGCAGAGAGAAAAGAAACAGGAGATGGTCAGCAGCATCTTCCTCATTCTATCACAAAATAGATAGCTACTATGGCAAATATCCCCACTTACAAGCAATCTATGGGGGATCCAGGGAATGGGATTTATTGAATGAATAAATAAATGAATACATAATTTATATAACTCTAAACATATCAAAACTCAATCTGCGTGTCAGATCAATTTAATTCAAAATCTATGATGTACATGAAATTAATTTCGAAGGGTCTCACCGCCGCTACCGCAACCCTACGGTGATTTCGAGAGGGTTGATTGAACAGCTCACAATTTAATTTAAGTGTCACAAAATTAATGGATTCCTCTACCTCCTGCAAACAATCTTTAGGTTAATTTAGATAAACCAATTCCATTTGATTATGGCGGCCGTTGACGTGCTTTTTATCTATTAATACATAAGTAGGGGTAAATTAACTAATCCGCTTTAGAGAAACTTTAAAAAAATTAGACGTATCATAAAGTTAATACAGTTGCAAAGATTTTACATGTTAGAGTTACGCTGCAGCCCTGGGGTTCGACCGAGTTAGGACCACGCTCTCACAGAATGCCAAAATAAAATAGCAACAAGAGACCCTTTTTACTGGACGCGAGTTATCCCATCCTAGTCCTCAGAGCTAAAAACGTATCTGCAATTTGATTTTTAACTAAGGGTAAATGGAAATGTCTATGGACCACAGCATCCACTTATCATTAGGTGGACTGTGCATTCGTTTATCTCTCTTATTCTAGAAAAGGATGGATTTCAATTCTAATTGCTGATTTACCACATGCTCAACGGTAAAGGAAACATCGTGAGAAAACCTGAAAAGTCCATGACGAGCACCGCGGCGGACTAATATCTCCATAGTTTTGATAAGTACAAAGATGTTCATACTTAATTATTGTACTAGGAACAAACACAAAATTGTAATGCCAGTTACTATACTCAACGGAGTTGGGATTTTGATTTATGGGGCAATATAAAAGTGTATACGTACAACAAACTCCAAAAAAACAATTATAAAGTTTGGCAATCAACAAGTTAAAACTTTAATTTAAGGAAAATTTGTACAAAAAGCCTGATTATAATATATTAATGGACACATGAATAAAAAAGTGTTACCTGGTATTGAGGTGATCCCTATCATACTGCTTTTATTATGTTTCACATAACATTTATTATAATTATTCATACAAATCGGCCTTCTTGCTCTAGTAGTAGTAGTCTAATGTAAACGCGATTTCTGATCATTACATCCCGGGTGCTAAAATCAGCTACTGAGTTTTTCTCTCAAGATATTCTCAGTAGCAGCCCAAAGTCAGGAACTTGGCGGTGATTCACCTCATGCCTCGGAAAGCCAAAAAAACTGCTCGGGGTCAGGAAATTCGTGGTATTTCAAGCCTTTGGAAAAGCGCCTGATCTCACTCTAGTAGTGTCAGTTTACCGTCCTATCTTACAATGAATTGTAAATAAAGAGTGCACCTGTGCTTGCACATACACTTGAGTAGTATAATCATGCTCTATGTAGATGGCTAGTCTCCTTTGAGACTGGCCACCGTGACCGAAATTTGGTCTGAATAACAATATTCTTATTATTATTATTGTGGGGTATCTATATAGTTTTCTCATCTGGTTGGGTTCTATAAATATATAATTATAAATGAGAATGAAAAGATAAATATACATAAATATCAATAACATAAAATAAATATAAAAATACTTAAATAAATAAAAGCCCAACCAGATGGAGGCCCTCGGCAGGGAAGACCAAACGGCCGAGGGTTAGGGGGAAATGGAAAGAAACCGGCGGACGATGCGGGCGGTATCGAGGAGCACCGCCTTCTGCATTTGAGCCCGGAGCGGTGCGCCACGTAGTCCCAGTCGCCTCAGATAACCCGAGAGGCTGACTGGGATTAGCCCGTTTGCAGAAACGACTACAGGAATAATTTCGGTCGGCAGACCACCCCCACATGTCGGTCACCTCGTGAGCCAGGTCCAGATATTTTGTTTGCTTGTCTGTTTCGGCTTTCACGAGGTTCTCGTCATACGGAATGGTAATGTCGACCAAAAATATCCTTGACTGTGCCCGGTCCATCAGCACAATATCAGGCTTATTCGCAAGAATAGTCCTGTCTGTGATGATGGCCCGGTCCCGGTAGAGCCTGGCGCGGTCATTTTCGAGCACGGCTTCCGGCAAGTACTTGTAATACGGCAATTTCCGGTCCACGAGACCGTATTTCAGAGCGAGCTCCTGGTGTAGAATTCTGGCTACTAGGTTGTGCCTGTGCAAGTACTCAGAGTTAGAAAGCGCCGAATAACCGGAGATGACATGCCTAAGTGATTCACCGGGATAGCGACAAGCTCGACAGACGTCGACGGTGCCATCCTTTAGGATGTATCTCCGATAGTTGTTGGTCTTAATAACCTGATCCTGTATTGCACAGACAAAACCCTCGGTTTCCCCGAAGAGGTCACCGAAACGTAGCCAGTTGAGGGAGGCGACTGTATCTACGAAGGGCTCATGAAGAGCCCTGTAGTACCTCCCGTGGAGCTCATTCTCATTCCATACGGTCTCCCGGTCGGAAATGCTAAGCACTGCTGGGTCCTGCCATTGCTCGTGGGCTAAGGATAGAGGGGTAAGCCCTTTATCACTAGAAATGACGTCATTATAGAATGGATCATCCGATATCGCCAGGAAGTAATCACGGAGGCTGCACACTTCGCGATTATGCATGGTGAGCGCGCTCAGAAAACCACGCCCACCATGCTTTCGCGGCAAGTACAGCCTCATTACCGACGATCTCGGATGATGCATCCTATGGGACGTCATGGTAGTGCGGACTTTTCTATCCAGGGCGTTAAGTTCGGTCTGAGTCCACCTGAGTATACCAAAGGTATATATGAGGACAGGCATAACCCAACCGTTATATACGTGTGTCTTATTCACACCGGACAAAAGGCTGTTAAGCACTTTGGTCAAGCGTGCATTAAACACGTCGCAAACTGACTGTTTCATACCAGCCTCATCGATACCGATGTTCTGTGACATACCCAGGTATCGGTATGTTTCAGCCTCGGAAAGGGTCTTTAAGTCGACGGGCATAGATAAATCTATGCCCTCAGAGTTAGCAACCCTTCCCCTTTCAATATGAAGGACCGCACACTTATCCGTCCCCAGCTCCATTCCAATGGAATTGCTAAATTCACAAGTGATGTTTAGCAATTCCATAAGATGGGAGCGACTGGAGGCGAATAACTTGAGGTCATCCATATAGAAAAGGTGGGTCACTTTTGTTCCTCCTTTCCGTAGCTCAAATCCTCTCCCGGAGCCCTCCAGTAAGGTACTGAGAGGGTTCAGAGAGAGGCAGAACCAGATTGGACTCAGACAATCGCCCTGGAAGATACCCCTTCTTATCCTTATGTGGTTCTCCGCAGCCATCTCCGCTCGCCCTGATAACAGAGGATCGTACTCCACTGCCCCATACACTGCTCGCGGAAGTCTCTAACTGTACAGTCAATCTTGTACAGCTCGAGGACCCTCTTTAGCCATGCATGGGGCACCGAGTCGAATGCTTTTCTATAGTCTATCTAGGCGGCGGAGAAGTTCCGACGGTTGCGTTTCACCACTTTGACAATGACCGCGTCAATGAGGAGTGGTTCCTTGGTTCCACGACCACCGCCCCGACATCCATTTTGAGCGCGTGACATCACCTGATTTAGCTCCAGGTGACGAGTGATTCTCGAGCTCAAAATGGATGTCAGTGTCTTATATATAGTGGGTAGACACGTGATGGGACGGTATTTGCTCGGGTCTGTGGTATCCCGATCTTTAGGAACCAAGTGAGTGATCCCAGTAGTGAAGAGGCTCGGGAGCGACCTCTGATCAGAGCCTCTTGATACTGTCGGGCGAGCACAGCGTGACACACTACGAACCCCTTCAGCCAGTAATGATGCAGCCCGTCGAGCCCCGGACTTTTCCAGTTCGGGGCCCTACGGACCGCCTCAGCCACGTCTTCAGGCGTTATGGTGACGGGGTACATGGGGTAACACTTGCACTCTGGCTCGCCACAACTTCCATCCAAGGGCCCTCGCTGTGGTTTACGGGCTCTGACCACAGGCCACGCCAAAATGCGACAATGTCAGCCTGATCCGGTCCTGGGCCCGCTCCACATACCTCTGGTCGCTCCAATGATTTATAGAGCCTTTTCTGATCACTCTGGAAGAGACGATTTTGGTTGAACCGCCTTGACCTCTCGCTAAATCGTCGAATCCGCTTCCCCAAGCAGCGATTTTTTTGCTTCAGGTCATCTATGCGCTCCGTTAGTTTCTGCGTGATATCCGGCTGGGACAAACTAATATTTGTCCCAGCAAACGCCATTCTAACGGTGCGCACAACTCTCAGTTTAATATTACCCGACCTGAAGCTTGTCAGTCTGCCGATAAGGGCCTTTGCCTTTGCGATACGGTCCTCGATTCTTTTTCTCCAGGCTGGGATGGCACTACCTTGTTGAGTAGCACGTCCAGCCATGGGTAGGTTGGCGTCACTAATACGGCATACTGCCAGTTCGGCGCCAAAAAAATTGAGTCCGTCTTTCAAAGGTCCCGGCTGGCTTCCAAATAGGTCACCAGCATTGGGTTAAGAGCCCGCACGACAGCCCGATTTCGCTTGCTAAGGGGTATGCGGGGAAGTCGCGGTCGATTTTCGAGAGCCATGCTGCGCGTTTCCAGCATCGACTCTTCCAATATGCTCTTCATTTTCTCTAGTTCGTGGGGGACTATTCCATCATCGTCTGAATCAACCACAAATGCAATATTGACGGCAGCGTCCACATTTGCAGTTTGCTGCGCAATTAGTGGCGCCGCATTCCCAGCCGTAGCATTTCCATCCGATGAGGGAACAGCCTCACGTCGTAGTCGTTCGAGTTCGGCGTCACCAAATATGTTGGAGCGCAGGATGTACCGAACTCGGTCTGCCAGGTTTTGCTCAGTGATGGATAGAGATGGCTCCAGCTCTGCAAAAAAAGCGATGCATCCGAGCCCGATATGCCAAACATCCGGTTTCTTCCCCTTTTGCCCTAAAGTACGCCCGCAGTGCGTTTGCGTTCATTGTTTGTGACCAACGCATGCGACGTGCTCCACCAGCGGCAGGTGCCGCTTGCTGAGTCCGAGAAGACCCAGCCGACACCAAGCCTTCTGGTGGGGATGATGGATGCGGAGGGCTGCTAGGTGATCGTACAGCTCCTCGCGCTCGTCTGGTGGCCCGCATGCTGCCGCGTCCAGCACCAGCTCCAGACGCGCCCCGGCGACCCCCAGGCAGCGGCCCTATGCGCGTTCCTCTTTGTAACATCATCCATTTATGGGCGCCAAATAACGGGAGACGCCCAAGCCCGGCACCGTTTCGTGGTTCGGTCATATGCACAAACGGACCTTTGCACCCACAATTTTGCCTAGGCACGGCGCTCACACCTCTTGGCAGGGCGCTGACTGACTGCGCCGACGTAGTAGTTTTGTCACATAACTGTTACGTCAGCGGGCGATGGGGTCGTCACTTCCCTACGCCTTTTTCTTCTTATTATAATTTATACAAATAATTCCACACAAAATTATTGTTAAACTATATAAGAGTAAAAAAATAATCTCGCTGAGCTTCTTGCACATTCTATTTTATTATATTCCACTCCCTTCCATTCTATTTTTTCTATTCTGTTTCATTCTACTCCGTTTTATTACTTTCCATTGCGTTCTATTCCGTTCTATTTCTTTCTATTCCGTTCTATCCCATTTTATTCCATTCTGTTCTATTCTATTCTATTCGAATCTATTATATTCTAGTCTATTCTATTCCATTGTTTACAGTCTGTACAGGCAACAGCGTCGTGTGACGGGTCGCCTACTTCCTCTTTAATATAGGTAAGGAGTGCGATGACTGCCACCTACGTCTTATTTGTTAACACTTGCTAATTGTTAGGTCTGATCCCAATCCAAGCAGTGTTCGCTATGCACTGAAATGAGCGCGAAATTTTTCGGGTTCTTTTTTTGAATGCATCATAGAGCATTCTTCAGTTATCCAAGTTCATTATATTGTAATCACAGAAATAGTAATATTAAGACAATAGAAATGAATAAGCGCTCGATTACTTCCAAAACAGATGTCGCCACATCTTACCGTATTATAAACATACGCACAATGCACAATAATATCTAATGTTTCACATTACATTGCTTGGCGAGTTTATCAACGTAGTACAAAGCAGCAATTGTAATTGTACAATACTAAAAGTAATAACTGAAAGTTTACAAACGTAAATATCGTAGTAAAGTATTCATCTAGATGTTAAAACAATGATAATTAGTATATAATCAACTTACTGATGAAATTTTATGCCGTTATTAGTTGAAATACACGTCCTTGATGAGTTTTTACAACTGATTATGCTGCAGTTCACCATTATAAATTTATAATAACACGTACGACGTACCCCGCGCAACTAAATCACAAAATGGTGAATTGTGCTCGTCAACACATAATAGCGGCGACAAGGTCACACGTCTATGCGACTTCTATTGTCTTATTATTACGATTTCTGTGATTGTAATACTATACTATTGTATTATTAAGTACAGCTAGTGCAGTCTTGACATACATTACGATGTCTTTACAATTGGAATCGGTCGTAAAGTCATGACGATACATATCAATATTTGGCAGTCTCAACTGTCAAAACTTTCGATTGATATTGGTATTTTAACGAACATTGTCGCAAAATTAACGATTTAGATTAAACAAAATATCGTATTTTAGACACGATATTAATGCTCGAGGATTGATACTTCTTGAAATTGTAAATCATGTTCATGATCAAAATTACAGTCTTTCACAAGCCTGCAGCTGGACATAGGCTTCCTCCAAGGAATGCCTCTAAGTAGAGAAATGTACGAATATATGCTTAGGAAAAAATATACGTATATATAAAAATACAATAAAATTTTTTAATTGCTATAAAAAATTAAAATTTAATAACCGGGAAAAACTAAGCCGATCGAGTTCTCGATTTTAAGCGATATCCTTAAAATAAAATGAATCTCAAATAAAAAAATCGATAATAAGAAAGGCATGATATTGATTAAGCTTCTTTATCGGCTACTTTTATGTTTATACATGTTTAGATCTTTTATTTCCTGTCAATAAACAAAAATATTACAAGCAAAAGAACTTTTGAAGTGAAAACTTCTTTAGCGGCGTTGTAGTTGTACACCATTTTGTAATGGGTAAAAAATGTTAAACTCGCGTCAGGACACTTGACCTGATCCAAAATTCGTAAGACGGATGGAGAGTGGGTTGATTTTTCTGAGAGATAAACTTTTTAATGTAACATAAATTGTCATCTTTGTGTACGATAGCGCAATAAATAAATATTGTTTACTACCACATAAATGATAATACTTTTATACTGATAATTAGAGCAATTCGTGCAAAATTATTCCCTAACCATTCCAAAATATCAAAAACGCACAACGTTAATATTCAAGTTTTCATTTCTGCCGGCGCTTCCGGAGTGCAACCTGTCGTTTTTTTTATCCACCAAATGTCGGATGCTTGGTTGTATGCATGCTGTTGCATGTTGTATGCATGTTGTGTGTATGCATTGGGCGGAGAAGAGAGCGCTTAAAGCCTAAGTTTTCTAACTAAGGCTTTTAGCGCTTAAACTTAGGCTTTTATCGAAGATCTGAGGAGTTTCTTTGGCCATTTCTGCTCCACTAAGAGGAACGTATTTTGAAACGGTAGTAGATTTGAAAAAAATTACTGAATGAAAATGAAAAAATGAATGAAACTTAGAAATGGAATTTCATTTTCTTACATCTTGGAAATAAATATATTTCATATTGTTGCATAATTGTCTGATGAGGAAAACACGACAAGTATTTAATACATATATAAAATATCATTAATGAAGCAAAATAATCTCGATGGCGAGACAAAAAGTCGGATTAATCAGAAGAAATTACTAAACTTTTAACGAGTTCTTATTACCAGTTCAATAATCGAGAACAAAATGAATCAGCAGACTTCTAAATTTGTATATCAAATTTATCTTTAAAAATAAAAAATAAATTACCGAAACGTATATTGTTGTTTGTCAACTTGATTTCTTTACATGCTTTCATATTCACAAAGAACTGCAGATAATTATTTTATACAGTTATAAATATATCAGAAATAATTTTTTTTGTAAAATTTCTTTTCCAAAGAATTTTTTGAAACCACCCAGTCCACCTGATAGTAAGTATCCAATTACCATCACAATACTTCTACAAAATCAAGATAATGACAATCATCACTGGTGCCGGCGAGGATCGAACCCGGGTTGCTCACGTACCGTGAAATTTACGGCTGACAGTCAGTGCTCTCCACAACTTTTATCCATCCACTATAACATCTCATAAAAGTCCACTGCTGAACATAGGCTTCCCCCATAGATTGCCTCAGAGGTGGGATTTTCAAATAGTTAGAACGCTTGACAGACGGGTTGACAACCGCTGTATTTACGATTTTTATTTGTTATCAGGAAGACACTGCTACTCATCTCTTGGTTTGTTTCCCTTTGTCGCCTCTTACGACAACCACAACACGATATAGGGCAGTGGGTATTCTTACACCGCCACTGCACATGTTGAAGCGTTGAAACGCAAAGAGGAATATTCTATATTACGCTCTTCAATTTACCGAGTTATGAGTGTGCGCTATTTTTTAGCTTTCCGAGGTTTATCGCTAACCGGATACACCATAAATATCTACAGTAGCTGATAGATTTATTAACCGAACTATACATTTATTCGTACCAGGAAGCTACGAGTATGAAGTTATTCATGGGAAGTGTAATTTTGAGCACGACGACATTCCTGTATATTGGAAACATATAAGAAAATTGTTTAGGAGTATAAAAATATAAATTTTTCACGCCTAGTTCCAGTAAAGTGTAAGTGGTTTAATATTCGTGGATTAGAAATTATATGACTGAAAGAGCTTCACAAAATTTTATGAAACGGCCTTTTTAATTATTGATTATAGAATGACCAGCACTTTACAAATTTAAACAGACATTCTTAAATAATGTTTAATTCCAATAACAGGTTCTCACTTTATATACATATACATACTACTTTTAACAGTTGACAAATTAATTTCATAGTGCTAGTATTTTACAGATTATCTAAAAATAAGCATAAACAAAAGAGGATCAACAAACCGTTACCGTTACAGCGTATACGAAGCTGACTGCTGAGCTAGGAATTCTACATCAGATTGATTCATAGAACGGATATATTTCATAGTTGCCATGCTTTGCAGGCGGGTAAGAAATCAAAGTTTCTATATAATCTTTATTTTTAGGTGTTGTTAGGAAGACCCTGCTCACCATATCCTCGTTTGATTGCATCTGTCGTCTCACATGACACCCACGGGATGAAATAAGGTAGAGGATGTTCTTACACCGCCTTTACACAGTCCTTGATTATCGCTTTCTTAATGTTAAAATGATTTATTTTTAAAGATTGATTTGCTTTAGTGGAAAACGTCAATCGAGGAAAATTTTACTATATAGGGTTATTTTACAAAACCTAGCCAAGTTTACAGAGAAGGTTCGGAATAAGTAATATAGGCAAATGGTGAAGAAAAATTAATTTAAAAAAAACTCAAACATTCTGTCCTTTCAGCTATTATGTATGCGGCACATGACTGAATTATATGCACATTTTGATTGGCTTGAAGGAACATGAAATAACGAAATGTCTAGTACGCTTAGGAAGGTGCTTGCAGTTATAAAGCGTAGGAATTAATTCGGAGATAACAATTTTATGACTGCTGGTATTGTGTAGAAACAGCATCTACTGCAGAGTACGGCGGTCTCCCCACAAAAGTTTTATTATACTAACGTAAATTCCAAGATTTGATCAATTTTGATTGTACTCTGTTTATACCTTACATGTGAGTTATATAATTTGGGTTTCACACAACACAATACTCCGGGACGCTACGCTCGTAATAACAATATAAATCCCTCATAAGTTATACGTCTGAAATAGGTTGACAAACTCGTAACAAAATGCCAAGATTTTTATAAGTCTTGCAAAGACCTTTACCAAGATATAATCAGACATCAACACTTTTGTGTCAAAAGCTGTTCTGAGGCTGTTGGATTTGTCAGTGCGTTAGTTCAAATTTTATTGAAAAATATTTTTTCTCCTTTTGCCAGTAAATCTAATTTGGAAAAATTTTGATAAATTCACGCCAACACCGTTATCACGGCAGTGTAGCTTATCATGTAGGTTTGGTCATGTAGAAAGAATCAATGAGAAAAGAGTGACAAAGCAAATTGATATGGCAGATGTGAACGGCAGAGTCGGGAAAGGACGCCCTACAAAAAAGTTTATCGACCAAATTGGCGATATTTTTAAAATGGGCCACGTTAGAAGTACCCTTAACCGACGAGCATGTATGCGTAGATATATGGATGTAAAGGAGGCGAAAGAGGTATGTCAGGATCGTGCCAAATGGAAGTCCGTAGTTTCTGCCTACCCCTCTGGGTGACAGGCGTGAGTGTTTATGTTATATATTATGTTATGTAGCTTATCTAAATCGCATTTTATGAATGCGTAAATTTTCATCCTATTCACGTACATGTGAAACATGGCAGAATTAAAGAAATTAGCATAATGTATATACATCATACCATATAC